GGGAAAGGCCGGTGAGAGCACTGAGGGGGCTGACGCTGGCAAGGCCGAGGACTCGGGGACCTCGGAGGGAGGGCTGGCGGGCGGGGAAGGTGGCCGTCCTCAGGCTGAAGGGCCTGAAGGAAGGGTCAGGTGAAAAGGATGGCTGGATGAAGCCCTCTAGGAGTTGGCTGACCCTAGGGTTTGGGGCACCTGGAATTCAGGAGCCACTTGGGAGTCTGAGGATATCAAGAGATGAAATGTCTGATTTAAAGGAAGAAGCAGCTGAGAGTGTGGCATCTATTCAGTTTATATTACACTTTTGTTGTATGTGTTAAGTAACTAAGCAAGAGTGTATTGAAGTTAGAAGAGTCCCTTGGATCATGGCTGGGAGAAAGGATGTTGGGGAAACCTCAGGGAAACTTGTTTGTGTCTGCCTTTTACTGTTCTTCCAGGTCTGCAAATGAAGAGCCCAGAAAAGAAGCGAAGGAAGTCAAATACTCAGGTGAATGGTGGTCGTTGGTGGGGGTAATTCCTAGTAGGCCTTCGGGTTGCTTGGTATTCTGCCACTCCATATTCGTTTGTATCTTTCATCAGCTTCAGGGAAAAGAGAAAGGTGTCTCTCTTGCTCTGCTTCTGGTCCTTTCTCTCAGCTTCATGACAAATGAGGGTAGGGGTGGGGATGAGATGATTTGACCAAAGATCTTACCACCAGGATTAGAATCTTCCTCTCCCCCGTTTGTCCTGTCCTGGTTCCCTTGTGATGATAACACCTAGTACTTGCTGAGCCCTTTCTAAGTGCCAAGGATTGTGCTAAAGTGCTGTAACATTTTTGGGAGGTTGGCATTGTCACTATTTTTCACACGAGGAATCTGAGGCTTAAAAAAGTTAAATACCTGCTCCAGAGTCTTGAGGTTACACCGTGCCAGAGCTGGGATTCCAACGTATTTATGCCTGTTTTCAGAACACGGTTACTGCACTGTGCTGGTTCTGCCCTCCATCCTGTTTCTTTGTTGCATTCTAAAGTTCATCTTGATTTTAGATCTGAGCTGGCCAGGACCAGCCTCCAAAATGTGTATGGTGTTTCTGGTGCTCTCCCTCCATGACTCTTTTCCCTCCCTCATCTGTTCCCCACTAGGGCCCTGCATACTCACATCTGACGGAGTTTGCGCCACCCCCGACTCCCATGGTGGATCACCTGGTTGCATCCAACCCTTTTGAGGATGACTTTGGAGCCCCAAAAGTGGGGGGTGCGGCCCCTCCATTCCTTGGCAGTCCTGTCCCCTTTGGGGGCTTCCGTGTACAGGGGAGCATGGCAGGCCAGGTGCCCCCAGGCTACAGCACTGGGGGTGGAGGGGGACCCCAGCCTCTTCGTCGACAGCCCCCTCCTTTCCCTCCCAACCCCATGGGCCCTGCTTTCAGCATGCCCCCCCAGGGCCCTGGGTACCCACCGCCAGGCAACATGAACTTTCCTAGCCAACCTTTCAGCCAGCCTCTGGGTCAAAACTTTAGCCCACCTGGTGGGCAGATGATGACTGGCCCAGTGGGGGGATTTGGTCCCATGATCTCACCCACAATGGGACAACCTCCCAGGGGGGAGCTGGGCCCCCCTTCCCTCCCCCAGCGCTTTGCCCAGCCAGGGGTGCCTTTTGGTCCTTCTCCTCTCCAGAGACCTAGTCAAGGGCTCCCCAGCCTGCCCCCCAACACAAGTCCCTTCCCTGGTCCGGACCCTGGCTTTCCTGGCCCTGGTGGTGAGGATGGGGGGAAGCCCTTAAATCCACCTGCTCCCACTGCTTTCCCCCAGGAGCCCCACTCAGGCTCCCCAGCTGCTGCTGTGAATGGGAATCAGCCCAATTTTCCCCCAAACAGCAGTGGGCGGAGTGGGGGCACCCCAGATGCCAATAGCCTGGCACCCCCTGGCAAGGCAGGTGGGGGCTCAGGGCCCCAGCCACCCCCAGGCCTGGTGTATCCATGTGGTGCCTGTCGGAGTGAGGTGAATGACGACCAAGATGCCATTCTGTGTGAGGCCTCCTGCCAGAAGTGGTTCCACCGCGAGTGCACAGGCATGACTGAGAGCGCCTACGGGCTGCTGACCACTGAGGCCTCTGCCGTCTGGGCCTGCGATCTCTGCCTCAAGACCAAGGAGATCCAGTCTGTCTACATCCGCGAGGGCATGGGGCAGCTGGTGGCTGCTAACGATGGGTGATGCTGGCGAGGTGTCCAGGGAAGTGCGTATGTCCCTCCCTGCTCTTCCAGGGTGATTGTTTTCCTGTCTGGCTCTTGGTCCTTGTTTCCACTGGCTTCCCATTCCTGTGGGGCAGAAACACAATGGCTCCTGGGGGCAGAAAAGGGACCGAGGTGGGCAGGCAGAAGAGCCTGGATCACTCACTTTTTCTGGAAAGTTACTGCGGTGAGATCTACAGAGGTCCAGAAAACCAAAGCCCTGCCCAGCAGAGCCATTTTTGGTGGCTCTTCTGGAGGCCTAGGGGGTATGGCTGCAAGAGAAAAGAGGCTGGAGGAAGATCTGAAGGGCAGGGATGTCCCCGCTGCAGATGATGGATACCCCCAATACCTGTGCCTAACACTCCTGTCTAGCCCCACAGCTCCAGCCTTAGTTTTTGGAGTCCAGTGTTAAAGGTTTCTGGTCAGAGGATTTGGGATCTCTTCCCGTCCCTGCAATAGCCCTTTCATGGGTGCTGGGAGACAGCTTTAGGGAATAAATGGAGATTTTCCCCTTTTCCCTCTCCCTTTCCTCCTCCAAGACCTACCTGACTCCTCCCCCTTTAGAGAACCAAATAGCTTGAAGGAGCAGGAGAGTACGTGGCTATGGCAGTTTCTTGGTGATTTGAGGCTTCAAGACAGTAAGTAAGTGATGCTGTCAGGACATGTCTCCCTCATACCAAAGTCACTGGTCCTTTCTCAGCCTCTCTTGTGCTTTTCTCCTAATGACCATATTTTTTGCCAAAAATTGGGGTACATGTCTGACCAGAATATTTGACGTTTGGACTGTCCTGGAAGCCTGGACTCTGTGGTTGTACCACCCTCCCCCCTCCCCTTGCTCACCTGTTGCACATTATTCTCAGCGCCGGTCTTCCAACTTTTGGCGCCCTCACTCCCCTGCCTCCCTGGCTTGATTGAAGGAAAGCTTGAAAAGGCACAGAGCCCTTATACCTCATTCTCCCTCCTGATAAAAGGATCCCTATTACAGACTGGGTAGGGGAGGTGGCGGGCCCCTCACTGCCAGGGCACTAAGATGCAGTCCAGAGCCAGGATGAGGTTTGCTTCTTTCCCTGCTATTCTTGACATCTTGGGCCGGTGATCTAGCAGCTCTCATTTTACTCTCAGCCAGGGTCCTGTACTGGGCTTTGTTTTTATTTTACTTTTTTTTTAAAGCACTGCCTGCCAGAGATGGAGCTGGGGCCTGATCAGGAGCCCCTCACAGCTGCTCTCCTTAGAGTTCATGCACACATTCCTCAGTGGGGTGAGGAAGGCAGGCTTGGGGTGTGACCCTGAGAGGAGCTGATGGTCCCCTGCCCCCACTTTTCCTGGGACCCTAGCGTGTGAAGAGAAGCCAAGTATACTGCAGAACTCATCTGCCTGCCCTTTGGGGCTGTGAGAAAGAAGGGAGCAGCCTCTGGGCTTCTCTCCTCCAGTGTCCCCCAACTTGGAACAGCAGAGATGGCAACCCCCCACTGCTCAACTTTGTGTTGTGTTTGTGGTTCTGTTTGCCCCTCTTACCTTTTGCTGTTTGTGCTCTCCCCCCATCTCCACATTTTGTAAGACGGCTACTGGAGGGGGTGTGTCTGCTCAATCCTCCCTCACTCCACTGCTTTTTGGAAGAAAGTGGGGGTGGCAGAGGTGTGGTGGTGGGGAAAGTCTTTTGTACTGTTGGATTAATAAAATGACTTGGAAATTCTAGACCAGGACTCCTTGCTGTTGATATGCCTTGGAATGAGCCTCAGCGCTGGGCAGGATATTGTGGGGTGAGGATATGTATCCCCCAGGGTCCTTGGAAGTGGGAATGGCAGAAAGATTCAGGCCCCTAAGTGGACCTGGTACAAGCTGCTGGAACCCAGGGAGGCCTTTGTGCCCCACCCCTCCCACTATGTCCCCGCTGTGAGAAACTAGTTTCCTTTCGGAGCACATTCCTGGGCCAGGCCTGGAGCCAAGGTAGAGCTCCGGTTCCAAGACTTCAGGGAGACAATTGCTATCAGTGCTTCTGGGTTTAGTGCCCGCCCACCCCCACTCCCCAGTTGTATGGGTTAGGGGTCAAGTGTAGCCCCAAGGGTAGGGGAAGGGGCTGCCCCTGGTCTAGCTGATTTCATTTTTGGATACTTTTCAGGCCCCCTCCCCGCTTCCTTAAAAAAAAAAAAAGCAGTATCCTTAAACAATCAGCATCGGAGCAGGGTGAGGAGACTGACAGAAGGGCTATTTCCAACCCACAATTTGCCACTCTCCCCTCCCCCATCCTGCAGCTGTCTCTGTCTGTCCTGGGACCAACCTGGTCCCGTGTCCCTGTTGTTTCTGGAGATGCCAGCCTTTGCCTTAGTTTTGGATCTTCCCGCCAGAAATTGTTTAGAGAGTGAAAAGGAGGGGAGATGACCCAAAACTCAGTTTGCTGGAACCCTAGCCTTCCACCGGAGGTGGGGGTTAAGTCCAAGTTTAGAGGCTCTGCAGGTACCCACCCTCTCCCTCTAGCTCGCAAGTCCAGCTCTTATTGGCCAAAAGTTTCCGCCCCCTCAGGGAAGTTGATTTTCCATTGGTCAGTCCCTGGTCACGTGACCTTCCTTTCTGAGGCCGCAAAGCCGGGGAGGCAGCAACAAGTTCAGCTGAAGACTGAAGCAAGAGCTAAGTCAGGTAATGCCCTAGCGGGGAAGGGGCCACCCAAATCCCTGTGAGAGGAAGGATAGAGGAGAGGAAGGGCAGAGCTCAAAAGGATTGAGCTCCACGGGGAATCTGTTTGTCACTTCTGGGTCGGGGAAAAGGAGAGCATGGGCGGACGTTTCCAAAACAGGAACTTGCTCGGGGTCTCCCAGGCAAGTTTTTGTGTCCCTAGGTCCTTTGCTTTAGAGGTTTTGGGGAACAACTCTTAGAGGGGTTGAAATTAGCCTGAAGAGACTTGCCGGCTTTGTACAGAGTGGGAGAGCTCCCCCTTTGGCTGTTTTTTTTAGAAATAACACAAGTCCCTGACAATCGTTGCTAGATGTTTTTGTTGAATCCTGCCTGAATGAAAAGAGAGGGAGTAGTGGGGAGGGGGTGGAGATGGGTTTTCTTCCAAGAGGGCGATGAGAAGAAAGAAAGCTGAAAACACAGCCGGGAAGGGTGGAGATTAGATAGCAGAAGGAACTTCCTAATAAGGAAGAGCGATGCTGGCTTGGGAGGACAGGGAGATCTTTTGGAATCTTGGGTGAAGCCAACCAAGAGAGAGGTACCAACCAGAGTTTGGAACCCTGAGGTCCAAGGGTTCCAGACGGTCTCCTGTTTGGGTCTCAGAAGTGTTTGTCTTTGTTGACCCAAATGCCCTTGCTGGTTTCCACGGAGATAGTGGGTCTGACATCACCCTGGTTGCCATGGTGCCTGGTTCTGGAGGACCTGAGCAGGCTGCACACAGCTAGGGATAAACAAGGACTTCGGCCCAAGCTGCTGCTACTTCCTTCCTGCCACCACCTGTTAAGAGTCACACGCAGCAAGTGGGGATGGGAAGATGACAGAACGGTGGGGGAGGGGCCTGAGCCCAGAGGGCTGCACAAGTGATGGTTCTATGGATACCTGTAGGAGCTGGCCAGGGGTGTTCTTCTGGACATGGTAGGGGAAGGTCACTGCAGCTGTTCTCCTGGCTTCTTGTGGGATGGGTGCATGTGTCTGGGAGGCATGGGTATTGGGGAAGACACTGGGAGATGTCTTTCATCTGTCCTGGGCTTGGATCTTGATTAACAAGGGCTGCAGAAGGTTATTAGAGTGCCGTGTAGGACTCACACCAGCTTAAACAGGGGAGCAGCGTGGTGGTTTTCAAGGCAGAACTATCACACTTCTTCCCAAGCCTCACTTCGTTTTCCCAGGGTTTCCTTACAGAACCCTTTTCTACTTGCCACCCTTCTATCTCCTCAGCAAGCAGTCATTTATCCTCCTCTAAAGGATCACAATCTAAGACTCTAGGCCTAGAGTTAGCTCATCTATCCCTCCACCTCTATGACAGATCCCAGCTGCCAGCCTGAGGGGACCGTCTTGGCCATAGATGGAAGGGTAGGTCCCTCTCTCCTTATCCCACCTTGTGTCAGGCTTTGGAAGCTGGAATGACTTCCCCCTCTTCACCTAGCCAAGTCAGAGCAGATTAGCAGTGGGCAGGACCATAGCCCTGATGTTTGTCCATGCTTTGCAAACTGTAAAGTGCTTTATTTATGATAGTTGCCAGAAATCCCTTTTCCCAGTCACCTTCAAGTTTCCTACGATGAAATTCTGGAGGTTACTAAGAACGGAAACAGAATTTAGAATGGAGCGTGAGAGTGATAAGGAGATTTACTAAAGGTATATTCAGAAGAATCTAAGCTATGCCAGCCCTTCTCAACCCTGGCTGCACATGAGAATCATCTGGGAGGCTTTAAAAAAGACCCATGTCTGATCCTGACCCTTGAACCAATCAGAATCTTAGGTGATTCCATTGTGCAGCCAGTGTACAGAACCCCTGAACTAGACCCTACATAGGACTCATGGTGAGTGGGTGGGTGGGTGGGTGGGAGACGTAGGACTGAAGACCTTCGAGTCTTCTCCTCCAGGCCCCGGGGGAGGAGGTGGTGGTTGTGGGGGAGCCTAGGGTGGTGAAGGGAGGGCTGGGTTGTTCCTCACTCTTCTTACGAGCCGTTCATCTTCGGCAAGTCGTCAGTCACCTTTCTGGCCTTCATTTTCCCCTGACTGTAACGTGAAGGAATTGGCCTGGATGTTTTCCCAAAGCTTTTCCAGTCCTATGCTTCTCTGACCTTTCAAGGTCAGTTCAGTTTCCCAGTTTCCAGAGGGCCCTTTTGGTCCCTGAGAGAGGCCAGCTTCCCCGTGGCTGTTGGCAGGTTCTGATTTGCAAGGCAAATACTGCTGAGGAGTTGAGGTGTTGGGGTCAGAAGGACTGGAACCAAGTTGGTTCTGGAAGCTACTGCCCAGCCCTTAAACCTTGGCATCCGGCTAAGGCTGCTGTCTGTATCCTGTCTCTCCTGAAGGGAGCTGGGATCCTTAAGAGAGCCTTTCTCTGCAGGCGGCAGCCTCAGCAGCCTCCGGGACAACTATGGCCTCCTGCCCAGACTCAGACCACAGCTGGGTGCTTGCCGGCGCAGAGGTAGGAAAAGCAGGCCTGGAAACCATATGGAATGGGGTTTCCTGCGAGGCGGGGCTGCTTTCTGAGTCTCTCCCCTTGGTCTTGGTGGTCACCTGCATCACCTCCAGCTGGCTATGAGAGGAACTGTAGTGTCAGGAAGAAGGCGAGTCAGGTATTGGGACTCAGACCATGCCTTGAAAGAAGGGAACCACCAGGCTCAGCTGTGAGAAGTAGAGAAGAAATTCTGGTGGGGAGACACGCATGAGCAAAAGTTCTAAGGCAACAGTGGGGCAGCCACGATGGGGGAGCCTGAGGACTTCCGCTGGATGAGGTGGAGACAGTGTTGAAGAGAGATTTGGCCAAAGCCTGGGAACCTCTGAAAGAGGCCTGAAGGGCCTGGCTCAGGCATTTGGGCCTCCTCCTGATGGGAAATCACTGAAGGGCGCTGAGTTAGAGGGCGTCAGGACAGCCAGTGCCTTGAGCAGAGGGTGCAGCCACTGTGTGGCCGGGGTTGGAACAAGGGGAGAGCTTTTTTGAAGGTCCTGCCGTCCAGGTGGTATTTGGTGGGACAGGAACCAGTGGACTCCTGTGCCTCTGAAGCCACTGAGAAGGGGGCTGGCAGAATGGGGACTGGGTGGCTGGAGCAGTTTGTCAAGGGCTTGGTATGTTAGAACCACCAGGAGGAAGAAGGTGCGGAGCTCAAATTAGACATGTTGAATTTGGGTGCCGGTTGGGAGTAAGGGAGCTGCCCTCAGGGTGACGCTGGAGCAGGACACACGGACTGGGGCTTGTGGACAGAGGATGGACACCAGACTCCCAGCCAGAGCCCTGGACTCCTGTTGGAGTGCCTTTACTGACAGCTGGGGGACCTGGGGCAAGCTGCTTTACCCGCTTGTCTTCCCCTGTAAAGGAGGAGTCATGATTTCTGACGGGTAGGAGGGGCCGTGAGAAAAAAGTGGCTTGAAAATTGTAAAGAAGTTACAAACTAAGTTATCAAGTCAAGAATTATTCTTGGAAGGAGAGCGGGAGCCACAGGTGGGATGAGTTGGGGTGGTGGGTGCAGGGTGGGCACACCGAGGGGGATGTGCAGAGAAAGGAGAGGCCGCAGCTGGACGGCAGGGCCGAGAACACTGTGGGAGACAGGCTGGCTGAGGCTGGGATGAGTTGGGCTCTGTCAGCTTCTGTGAGATAGGGTATAGGGAGTGGGAAAGGCCAGAAAAGCTTGGAAGACGTAACTGGCATGGGTGGCCCGTTGTGAGGGTCACTGTAGGGAAGCCCGCGGGGGTCATGACTGAGATCCTTAGGCATCTGGGGGATGTCGTTCTCTGGCCGTCCTCCCACCTTCCAACTGATAACTGAGCTTGTCACTTGGGAGGAAAATCCAGGCTGTAGCCGGCTTCTCTGGGGAGGTAGGGGCACCAGGTTTGTACAGTGGTCCAGGGCCTTGGTCCAGGGGTGCTTCTTCGTTTAATAGAAACTTGGCCTCTGAAAGTTCCTCAGAGCAGCAGGTGAGGTTAGGGAATGGCCAGATACTACACGGAGCAGAGGTATCGCCGCGCCAGCTGCCCCTGCCCCCTCCCCACTTTGGAACATCCCACTACTGAATGTATCGCACTTTTGCGAGATGTGAGTTGGGGTCCCTGAGCGGTGCAGCTGGCTCCAGGCACCCCAGTAGAGCACCCCGTGCTCTTGGTTTCATCTGGCCGTCCTTCCTCTGGAGCAGCCCTTCTGCTTGTGCCCCGTCCCCCAGAGCCTGCCTGTGGAGACCCTGGGCCCAGAATCCAGGATGGGCCCAGAATCTGAGAGACCTCCCCAGGCCCCTCGGAGCCCCTCCAAGGTAGCTGCTGAAGAATTAGCTGGGACCTTGGATGGAGAAGGTAACAGCCCTGCTGAGGGGGGGTTGCAGCCACCTCTCCCCCATGTTCTGGGGTTGTCCAGTTTCCTCAAGGAGAGGGAGGCTGGTTGGTTTTATTCCCTGCATTTATCTCAGTTTAAAACCTCCTTCCCTTGTTCTATCCTGACTTTCCCCTGCCCTTCCAACTTGGTGGAGGCCTGCGGGAGCCAGAGGGCCGTGTAGAAGGTTCCGCTGGGGGGGGGGTACTGTAGTGTTTTCTTGACCCTCTTCTCCTGCACAGAGACAGAGTTACAGAGTGAGAGCTCCCCATCTGGGCCCATTCTGCCAGAGGAGACTGAGGCCAAGGTGAGGACCTTCACTGTGGGGAGGGAGGGAAATGAGGAGGGCCAGGAGCTGCTCATGTCTGTGTCTGCATCAGGGCATTCTGGATGGTGATGGTTGTGGAATGGAGCCGCCTGGCCCAGAAGACACAGAGGCCCAGGGAGACTTGGAGGAGACCCCTGTCGTGGTAGACCTGGGACCAGACACACAGGACCTGGAGGATGAGAGTCCCCCCGACAGCCTGGCCTCATCCCCCAAAACAGGTGAGGATCCTCCTTCTCTCTCTCTGCCATGTCCTTCTAGAAGGTGTGGGAGCAGAAGTAGATATCACCCTGGGACTCAGTAGCCTGGTACCCTCTTTAAGTTGTGTCAGTGAATCCTAACCACCACCCCTGAGGACACTGAGGCTCAGGTTAAGTGACTTGACCAAGGTCACACAGCTGGCAAGTCACAGGACCTAGGTCTGGTCAACTCTTTACTCTCTGCGATGGGGCCTCCTCTTTTCTTGCCTCTAGATTCACCTCTCATTCCCTGAGTCCTTTCCATGTGTCATCTCTGCGGAGGGAGGTTGGGTTTATGGCCTGTGTAAGAGGCAGGCTAGACTGAGCCAAGATGCAAGTCAGACCTATGAGGGGTGCAAAAAGGAGGTGTAATTTAGGTGCTCTCACAGGAGGGGGAGGGTGGTTGCGTCAGGGGACAGGTAAAGGGGGAGCGAGAGTCAGGGACAGTTGGGGAAAGGTTCACACTGAAGGTGACATTTGGGTGAAGCCTTGAGGAAAGAGTAGGCTTTTGGTAGGTAGGGTAGGAAGAAGAGAACATTCGAGGCCAAGGATGCAGCATCAACAAAGGGATGGGGCCCCTGTCCTGCGCTGAGGAGGCTGCATCCATGTCTTGTGTCAGAGGGGTGTATGAATCCATCTCTGTTGAAGGTGACGGGCTGGAGGGGGAGGCCAGGGGCTGGGGCCATTTAGGGGACAGCTGCAGCAGTCAGCCCTGAAGGAAGGCAGCTACGAGGCATGAGACCTGAGATGTTTACCTGTTGAACCGTCGCATTGTCTGAGGCTGAGGTTGGCCAGATGGCAGCAGTGGCACCTTGCCCAGGATTGGGGGACCACCAGAAGACCCCCAGTTTGGAGGGCCGTGTGTTAAGTGGCCCCTGAGGGACACCAAGGTGGGAGTGGCCAGTAGGCAGTCAGACCTCCAGGCCTGGAGCTCTAGGGAGGCCAGGTTGGGAGTTACGGGCTGGGGCTCCGTCTGCCGTGGGAGGAAGCCAGCGGGGTAGGTGCAATGAGAAGAGCAGAAAACCAGGAATGGTGCCAGGGAGACCTCCGCCTTGAGGGCCAGGAAGAGCCAGGGTTTGGACAGGACTGGGACAGGGGAGCAGCTGCAGGAGCTTCAGGAAGGAGGACCCTTTTAGGATGAAAGCTGCTCTTGTAGTTTTTAGGTTGAAAGGGCTGGTCTCTCACCTCCAGACCAGGCAGGGGTGGCCACTGGCCCAGACAGACATGGGAAGGGTCTCCACGTGCCCCCTCTGCAGTCAGGGCTGGAGACCTCCCGTTCTTCCCTCTCTTTCTGTCTTTCTGTATGTCCCATCTCTCCAGTTTCCTTACTGCCCTGTCCCCATCCCTTCCTCCAGCTTGGATCAGGGAGGAGGCCCACTGCTCTACCAGTGAGGATGACACCGACGTGGATGTGGGGGGTCTGCGGAGACGGCGGGGCCGGGAGCCCAGCACTCCTCAGCCCGTGGCCCCCGTCGGGGTTAAGGACCAGGCCAGGGGCGAGGGTGCAGGCGGGGAGCTGGGCATCTCCCTCAACATGTGTCTCCTTGGGGCCCTGGCGCTGCTGGGCCTGGGGATCCTCCTCTTCTCTGGTGAGTAGTTGCTGCTGCTGGGGCCTTGAGCCCCTACTCTGGCACCTCCTGCTGCATTTTCGCCCTGCTCCACCCCTTTTTCTGAGGGCCTGACAGACCCCTCTGTCTCCATTTTCAGGTGGCCTCTCAGAGTCTGAAAGTGGTGAGTGGGGACAGGCCCTGGCTGGTTTGTGTCCGTCCCCTTCCAGCCCTGAGGGAGGCTGATGGGGGCAGTTCCCTGGGTCAGGAGTAGGGATGCTGGGGGCTGTACACATTTTGCTCAGTTGTAGGCCTTGTCAGCTATTCAGGGTGACCCTTGGCCCTTTACGTCACTGGACCTCTCAGCCATAGAGTCGGTCCAGGGCAGGAGAGTGACTGTGGGTGTGTGGGTGGGGGGAGGAGAGGGGTTTATATGCCTTGGGGCCAGTTTCAAGATTGCACTTTCCCACAGGACCCATGGAGGAAGTGGACCTGCAGGTCTTCCCAGATCCCGGGTCGGCTACTGAGAGGCTGGAGGCTGCGGGAGATGGGCAGGCATGTGTGACTGTCTCCATTGGTGTGTGGTGCCTGGTGCGGGAGATCCAGGGCTACCAGGGTTGTGGGGCGGGGTGGGGGTGACTGGCTCCTTTGCCCTCAGGATGAGCTAAGGCAGCAGCTGCAGGCCTCAGCGCCCCCTGACAGTGTCCCCAGCCTGCAGAACATGGCCCTTCTGCTGGACAAGCTGGCCAAGGAGAACCAGGACATCCGGCTCTTGCAGGCCCAGCTGCAGGTGGGCACGAGCAGGAGGTGGGTGGGCTAGGCCAGCCCTTCCTAGGCCAGGTGTCTGTCCTAGTGTCCTTCCCTAAAAGAAGTTTCCACTGTTCATCCACATACCTTGACCCTCTCCCTTTCCCACTATAGTCAAGTCATCTTTCTAGTTCTTCTCTGTTCACATCCCACATGCTCAGGTTTAGGCCAGGACTGGCATACCTGTTTCACGTGGCATGCCACCTCTGCTTGATTGGCATGGTCTGCCTGGAGCATTGTGAGGGGGAGGGATTGAACAACATACCAAGGCTCAATGGGAAAGAGGTGCTGTGATCAATTAACAATGTCTGCTCTGGGTATGGGAGGTGGACATAGGCCGAGAGCCACATCTTGGCTGTCTTTAGGTGAATCAGAGAAGTGTGTGCTTATAAAACACCATAGAAACTGAAGTGAAGGGTGGGGATAGGAAGGACGAGAACCAAATCCTCTTGAGTGTCCTGGGCCATAAAGGGGCTTGGGCCGCCTGCCCACTGCAACAGAATGAAATTAAGGTAGAAGGCACTGGGCTTATCCTGACAAGGACCCCTCCTTGTGCACTTCCTCCCTACCCCTAATTCCAGGCCCAGAAGGAAGAGCTTCAGAGCCTGATGCATCAGCCCAAAGGGCTGGAAGAGGAGAATGCCCGGCTCCGAGGGGCTCTACAGCAGGGCGAGGCCTCCCAGCGGGCCCTGGAGTCAGAGCTGCAGCAGCTGCGGGCCCAGCTGCAGGGGCTGGAGGCTGGCTGTGTCCGGGGCACAGATGGGGTGTGCCTCCACTGGGGCAAAGGCCCACAGGGTGGCAAGGCCACCAAGGAGCAGGGCCTCAGGGGGCAGGAGCCGAGCCCTGGCTTCCTGGAGCAGAAGGAACGGCTGGAGGCTGAGGCCCAGGTGCTAAGGCAAGAGTTGGAGAGGCAGCGGCGGCTGCTGAGTTCTGTGCAGCAGGACCTGGAGCGGAGCTTGAGGGATGCAGGCCGAGGGGACCCAGCCCATGCTGGCCTGGCTGAGCTGGGCCACAGGCTGGCCCAGAAGCTGCAGGGCCTGGAGAACTGGGGCCAGCGCCCTGGGATCTCTGCCAATGCTTCAGAGGCCTGGCGTCAGGAACCTCACTTCCAGAGTTCCAGGGAGCGGAGTGGAAAGGAAAAGAGGTGGGATGGGCAAGGGGACCGGAAGACTGAGCGTTGGAAACTTAAGAAGGAGGAAACTGGCCGGGAAAAGAAGAGCTGGGCGGGTGAAGAGGACAGGGAGTTGGCAGGGAGGTGGAAGGAGGGCAAGCCAAGGGTGGAGGAGTGGGCCAGCAAGGATGGCAAGCGACAGGGTTCCAAGGAGCCCCCCAGGAAAAGTGGGGGGTCCCACTCCTCCAGAGAAAGGCAGAAGCACCCTCGGTGGAAGGAAGGGGCTAAAGATGGGCATGACCCCCTACCACTCTGGGCAGAGCTGTCGAGGCACAAGTACCGGGCACCCCAGGGCTGCTCAGGTGTGCACGAGTGTGCCCGGCAGGAGGGCCTGGACTTCTTTGGCATGGAGCTCGCCCCAGTGCGGCAACAGGAGCTAGCCTCTCTGCTGAGGACCTACCTGGCGCGGCTGCCCTGGGCTGGGCAGCTGAGCAAGGAGCTACCCTTCTCTCCTGCTTACTTTGGTGAGGATGGTATCTTCCGCCACGACCGCCTTCGCTTCCGGGACTTTGTAGACGCCTTGGAAGACAGCCTGGAGGAGGTGGCAGTGAGACAGACAGGTGATGACGATGAGGTGGATGACTTTGAGGACTTCATCTTCGGCCACTTCTTTGGGGACAAAGCACTGAAGAAGAGGTGGGCAACTGTGGGGAAGTTAGGTGGGTGGGACAGAATAGGAGGCAGGGAGTGGGGGGTGGGGATGTGAAGGAGCCAGGGTCCTGAGGAGAGGTCTGCAGTTTGAGGTTTTTCTCTCTGCTTTTAGGTCTCCCCTCCCCCCACAGCCAATACTTTCCTGTCGTCCCTTGAGGGCAGGAAGCCGCCTGTGCTCACCCCAGAGTGGTCCTGGGGAGTCCCCTTTTGGGCTGGGGGAATTCCTCCCCCTCCCCTACCCCATTTTTCTGTCCTGTCCTGCCTGTATCCCCATGGCCAGGGGCAGTGGAGGGCGGGAGGGAAGGGGTGGTAAGGGAGATTGCTTCCCACCTTCCTGCCTGCCCAACTGGGGCTTTCATCCTGGGAGACCAGGTCTGGCCACACTCCCCTCCCCCCAAAATGATTATTGGTGGTGGCTGCCTATGTCACCTGCCTTAGGAGAAATAGGGTCCCCTCTCCTCTGGGAGCCCCTTCTCATCACATGGCATTGTCCTCTAAAGGCCTCTCCCTGCCCCCACCCCATGTCTCCCCACAGGTCTGGGAAGAAGGACAAACATTTGCGGAACCCCAGAGTTGTGGGGCCCAGGGAGGAGCACAGCCACCACCGCCGGGGCTGAGGCCCTGCTTATCTGTCCCCTGGGAACCGTTAAACTGCCACCTCCCCTGGCTGGTTTGGTGTCCTTGGATATCCTTCACAGCCCTGCACTGATACCACTTTCTCTAGAAAAAGGCCTTAGCTGGACCTGCCTTGCTATCTATGCAAATGTATGCAAATGCTCAGGGCCCTGGGCCGTGACCCTTGCAGCCTGATTGTGTCATGCCAATGTGAAGGGGGATGGGAGAAAATCCTGTTTTTTCGTGGGGTGCAGTGGAGGTAGGGGTGTGGAGGCAATTCTGACTCTGAAGCCAAAGTGCTTTCCTCCTCTTGTGTGTGTGGGGGCCCCAGAGTGGCCCCTTGGCTGCACGCACTGCCCTGTGCCCCCTGGGGTTTGACTAGCCTTGCTGGCTGGAGGCCCAGCATGAGGGTTTTCCCTGGGGTTTTGTTAGATTTGGAAGGAGCTGTCCCCAGGAGATGAAGTCCCCTTTTTAGCCCTGCTCCTTTTGTGGCCTCACCTCCCCATGTGAACTATAGACTCAGATCCCAATAAAATGCTATTGGAGCTGTGACATTGGGTGGGGGCTCTGTCACTTGGGGCTGTTCCTAAGCACAGCGGACACCCACACCCACCATCTCGTGGGCGCTGGTACTCGCATTCTCCCATATACTCCTCTCCCCCTCACCTCACCCTCCCAGCAAACCTCAGGCCCCCTGGGCTAGAACTCCCCATTTTGCTCACAGCTGCCTTGGCCGCACCCCTGGGAGATGTGGAAATATGCGAGTGGGTTTGGGAGTCGGAGCCTTGGGCTCAAATCCAGGCTGAGTGATCTTGGGTAAGTTAATCTCTGGGAGACTTGGGCTTCTAATCTTCAAAAAAGGAGATTGAGGGGCTGGGGAAGAGATTAAATAAAGCAGTGTAAACAAAATGCCTGTCCCGTATTTGGCACTGAAAAGCTATTCACTCCCTTCAGCATGTGGAGGAGGGAGGAAAGGGACCCATGCCGGCACAACCCCCCCTCCCCCCGGCAACCGGGCTTCTGGGTTGGGAAGGTGAGCAAACCACTAGGTGGCGCCCTGGCTCCACATTTACTGCAGACCTCGCCGCCCCCCACTGCTTGGTGCTCCAAATCTTGGACACCCCCATCCCCACTGACTAGGGCCTGCTCTCGGGCTAGCTCTCCTAGGAAGACCTAGCTCCCCCTCGGCTACTCTTTAGGAAGTTCTTCCTGACTGGGCCTCTTGATTGGCCTGGAAATTCCCTTGGGAGTATAGGGGACAGGACAGTGTGACTTCAGGCCAGATCAGAGGAATGTGTTAGTAAAGCTGAGGGCGCCTGCCCAGAAGGGGACTATAATTGACAGTGCTTCTGTAACACTGTGACTGTTGGGCCACTCGCTGTTAAAGGGCTTTAAGTGCACCAGCTCATTTAATTCAGCTGGGGAGGGTGGCGTGGGGCGGGGCGGGGCAGGCTGGGGATGGAACAAGGTCCACTCATTTAACAAACATTTAGTCTATGGTGCTGGCCTTCTGCAGGTGCTCAAAATTTATGCTGCCTGAGCAGCTGACTGGTAAACTTGGGTGTCCAGCAGAGGGATCAGGATTCAGCGACCTGGGAAGGGGAGCTGGGCTCAGGGGACAGGACACAGACTGGTCCCCTGGGTTCCCAGAGGGTGTGGGCCGCTTGGGGCTTCTCAGTTTCATTTCGAGGGCCCATTTCCTTCATTTGCATAACGAACTCTCAAGGAGGCTAGGAAGTCCCCCCAAGCCCCCTCCTCTTTCTTAGCCACTCAGGAAGTAATACGCTGAGCTGGAGGTTTCTGAAACTGCTGAATCAGGGAGAAAAAGCCAAGAACTCAAGGGGTATGCTGGGGAGGGGTGAGGACACCAGGGACACTGGCTGTTCTGACTACCCTCTCTCGCGCCCTTGGTAGGTGATCCTCATACCCACTGCAGGTCATGAAGCCGCTGCCTCCATCGCATCCATGCACCCACAGCAGCACTGGTAAAGAAGGGGAACCCCAAGGCCCGGATCATAGGATGCTCTCTGGTCATAGAACTGGCATGTGGAGACAAGCCTCTGGAGGTTGAGGCTGGGGGACAGCACTCCCTCCTTGCCACAGGGCCGGGGGACAGCTTCTGGCTGTGTAGGGGTAGGGGGAGCCTGTGGGTAGCCCCGTGGGACTCTGTCACACAGCCCTTCTTGGCCTCCAGGGTCTGGTCTAGTTTAAGTACTTGGTATTTTGAGCACTTGGCTTTTCTGCCCTTTCCTCTGGGAACTCCCCCAGCCAAGAGCTCAGCTTCCGGGTGCCTTGGGGGAAGTCACTGGAGTTGAGGGTGGCTCTCTTGGGCCTTCCCCTCTCAAGTGGAAAAATTCTGCTTCCTTTGGCCAGTCCCCCAAATGTATTTCCTAGCTGTCCCCCAACTTGCCGTTCCTCCCCCATCCCTGCCCCTCATTCTTCAGCCTCACCCCTTTTTCCATTGTCCTCAGCTCAGCCTTCTCTCACTGATGCCCCCTCCACCCTTTACCTCCTCCAGGATCTTCCTCATCTGTCTGCCTCCTCAGGTCCTCCAGGCCCCAGCCTTTCCCTCCTGCCCATCCTGGGGGACAAGGGTGGTGGTGGTGGTCACCTTCAGACCTGTACCGTCCCGTAAGCTCCCTGAGGGTCCGAGGCATGTGTTCCTTTTGAGAACCTCTCCCAGCCCCCTCTGCTGGGCACAAGGACAGATGCTGAAGTGGCTGACTGTTGCCATGGGAACCTCCCAGGGCCATCCTGACGCAGGGACGTCTCCCCCACCACCCTGCCTGTCTCATTCTGGGCCACAGATGTTCCTGATCCCTTCATGCTTCACACGCTCCAAGAGGGTCTAGAAGGGACACCGCAGGGTCGAGGGGGGGGTCATTGCCCTAAACCCAGACAACATAGATCCTGCTCCTGCATTCTCACCACTCAGCCCTCTGAGCCACAGAAGCCCCTTGTCACTAATTCTTGGTGAGTTGTCTGATTCTCTTTCCCTCCCCTGCAGGCCTTCCCTTAAGGTTGCTGCCCATCTCTTTGGCAGCCCTTGGCTTCCAGGACATGCCCTGCCCACACAGAAGCAAAGCAGACCCCTTCCCCGCTCACCTTTTTCTCTTTATCCTGGGCCAGGTGGAGACCCAGGCCAGGTCTCTTCTAATTAGACCTGTGTCCTGGGCAAACTTCCAGTCAGAAAACCTAGTCTCAGTTCTCCACCGCTGCCCACCTGCAGCCTCCTCGCTTTTTCTCATCACTGAAGTGAGGCTGTAGATAGCCCCTCATAGGTGGTTGTGAAATGAGTCACCCTAAGACAAAGGAAAAGGCTTTTCAAACTGTAGAGTACTGTTACAATTTTTTAGTTATTTTTATTTCATTTAACCTCTAAGGGGAAGCCGAGGCCTCTGTGAGTTACTGATACAGGAGGAGAGGATATTGGTCCCCAACCCCTGCAGCAGGAGCTGGCAGGGAAAAGACGAAAAGATGCTAACCCGCATTCAAGTCCCAGCACTGTGCTAGGTGCTGTGGGGACCCCAGTCATTGTCCCTGAAGCTAACTGGATTAGTTTAACACAGAGCAGAGTTTAAAAAGTATTCTCTTAATAGTGCCAGGGAGGAGTCAGCCGAGGAGGTGAAGAGGAGGGTGGGGTGGCCTTTGAGCTGGACCTTGAAGGATAATAGGACTGGTGATGCTGGAGGGGATTTCAGACTGGGCAAAGGTGAGGCCCTAGGGGAGGGTGGAACAGTCTTGTCAGATGGTGACACTCAGGTTCCTGTAAGGGTGCAAATTCTCCCACAGGCCTGCCTGCAAGTCTAAGGGGGAGCTTTACTATAGGAAATGGGGAGGGGTGCCACTGAAGGCCTTTGATGGGTAGGGGGCATGAAGAGGAGGATCCACACGGAGGCAGTGCAGCCGGCCGGGGGGAAGGGCGGCATGGAGATGTGAAATTGGGGGTAGTTAGGAGGTGTCAGCCATCGACTCAAGAGAGAGATGACAGGCCTGATTTAGAGCAGTGAATCAGAATGGACTGGCCTGGGGTGGGACAAGGACAAGGGAGAGGGAGGAGTCAAGGGCACACTGAGCTTCCCAGTCTCATGACAGGTGGATGACTGCATCCTCATGCGATGCCGTGCTGGGAAAGGAGGAGGAAAGGCCCAAGCTGCTTTGTGGGGGTGGGGTGGGGGTGGGATGGGCTGGGGAAAGAGGGACGGGGGGCCTCTGGGCTTGACTGTGCAGGAGATGGGACAGGGATAGAGCCAGCCTCCCCGCAGATCACCCCTCTGCTCTGCCAAGTTGCATGTCCCCACCTCCCAGTCCTCATGTCCCTCCTGCCCCCACTGCCCCCTGCCCCACTCCAAATTCCTTTCCAGGGCAGGGCCCCTTTGGGGGAATTCTTACCAGCTGTTAGTACATTTACCTTTACTGAATCTGAGGGGAGGCACCCAGCAGAGGGGAGTGACTTTTCCACTGAGGTCATCACTGAGACCTTTTCCAAAGTCAAAGGGCCAGGTCATCAGGCCGGGGCAGGCTGGGGCAGGAACCTGAAGCCCTGTGCTGTGGAGAGGGAAGTGTTAGATGGCTCTCCCTTTGGAAGCTCAGTCACCTGTGGGCCAAACAGACCCACCATAAATTCTTGCTCATCTGGAATGTGGCCTTGGGCCCTCACAGAGGCAGCTTTGTAGGGAGGGACCAGCGCAGGCCACCCCTCTTATCTCTGAGGGCCCTGAACTCAGAGCCCTTCCCTACCTTAAAATTTTGTTTGTTTGTTTATTTATTTATTTAATTGTATAGTTGATTTACAATGTTGAGTTGATTTCTGGCGAGCAGCATAGTGATTCATTTATACATATATATTCCTTTTCATTGTAGCCACTACAAGGTATTGAATATAGTTCCCTGTGTACAGTAGGACCTTGTTGTTTATCTGTTTTCCCTATTTTTTAATCTCACTGAGGAGTAGACCTTAAAAACGGAAAGGCCATAAATCTCTCTATTTTACGCGGATGAAGAAACAGAGAGAGAGAGGAGGGGACTTGCCTAAGGTCCTACTGTGGCTGGACAGTGACAGTGGAGGTAGACTGGCCCCCAGACAGCCCTTAGGACGCCAGTGGACTTTTGAAATGTGTGCTCCTGCTGCTTGCCCCTCTCCCCTCCAGAGCGGACCCAAGGCTTGGAAGCAATATCTGAGCTCTCTCCCATCTGTGGGTCTCTTTAGCCGACTCCTCTCCTCTGGGCCTGTGTGCCCCCTACTTCAGCTACTTGGGGCACCTGGCCTTGGAGGCATTTCCTCTCTGGCCACCGGCTGCCACCTGATTGGGCCCAGCTTGTGGGTAGGAGGAGGCCAGTCCTGGAAGGGCCCCTTACAAGCCTGGATGCCACCTCTTGTTCAGAGGGAAACCGAGGCCTAGAGGGGGAAGTGACTTGTCCAAGGACACAAAGCTTGCTAGGGACAGAGTGGAGACCAGCGCCCAGGGCTGCTCACCCCTTACTAAGGGTTCCCTTTCCTCCTGCCTCCCCACCCCTCCTCTCTCTGGCTTTTCATGCTTGGAATTTAGGCTCTGAGATCAGGTCTGGAGGAGCCTCTCACTACAAGACAGGTCTTCGTCTGCTGTTCCAGAGAAGTGACTTGGCTCGTGGCTCCTTCTGCAGAGACGTCTAGCGGTGGCCACGGGGGGGGGGAGCAGCGGGAGGTACAGGGGCCCGCCGGGCCGAGGACTGGGCTGGGAGCGAGAGAGGGGCCTCCAGGAGCTGCCCTGGAATCAGAGCAACGGGGTGTGGGGTGATGAGTCCTCAGCCTTGAGAATACTCACAGAGGGCCCTTCTGGCTTCAGGAGTGAATCCGGGCCCTTAACTCTCCCCGACAGAGCCCCCATTCATTTGCTCTTACAGAGCTCTTACCCTGTGCCTGACCGGGG